GGAAGAGCAGCAGGGGGAACAGCACTAGCAAAGCAGAGAAGAGGGACAAAATATACATAGTACTCAGGCCTGTATCTCCATGGCCTACCGCACACATGCAGAAGTTTTTATTAATCTGCTAAGCATTTCTTAATGAAATGAAGTTGCCATATCAGAATTAATAGTCACAATGGTGTTCTGAAATTATCCAGTGGTACCTACATTTCCTTTTTGACCTTAATAAATTTCTGCACAGGCAAGGTTTGCCCTATCTTTATCTGTATCTGTATCTGTATCTGTATCTCTTTCTCTGTCTCTATCTCTATCTCTCTATCTCTCTCTATCTCTGTCTCTCTCTCTCTCTCTCTATCTATCTCTCTGTATCTTTAGCTAATGTATGGCATAGTGAATAATGATTTAGTTTACCAAAATTATTAAGGTGGTAAATTCTTGTGAATTGTTTCTAAATTCACACAAGGAGCTTTGGACTTGGTTAAGAGATTTCCAATGATAGTATCAAGAGAGGTCTTATGTGTAGGTTTGATCTGATTTTTCCTCTTATATAAAGCCTTGCCTTCCACCTCCTATTTAATTCTTAATTCCACCTACTTCACTGTAACTCTACTAACCTGTCTACATTCAGGGATTCAGTGGCCTCTTCTAGCCTAATGTGGTGACTTCTGAAGTGATCTTTCTATTTTCAGCCTTTCAACTTCCAAACCATCCTACATACCACTGTGAAGTGATCACTTTTAAATCCAAATCTTTTGTTCCACAGATTGCTTAAACTGGCCTGCAAAGAAAGTCTTTTATCATCCAACCTCTCTCCAGATGCCTATTCTCCCAATCATTTTGTACTGCATCTTTTACTGCTGCATGTGACATAATTTTCACATTTCACAAGTCCCTCCTTTTGAGTTTGTTCTTCTATTTTCCTGGTTGCCAACTTATCTTTTAGAACTTTGTCAAACAAGGTTCTCGCTGGGTGAACTCCCAAGTTTTTTACTTACAGTGTGGTCTCAGGTTCTTCTGTCTTTTTCATATCTTTATTCTACCTTCTGAGTGCATTCTGAGTGCAACAGCCTGATTTGACATGATTCCTTTCCTGGTGGTAAATTCTCTTAAGGAACAAGATCATTGCTAATTTAAGCACAGTGCCCGGAACATAGTATACACTCAAAATTTTGTGTAATGATTGATTGATTTCACAAATAAATTAATATATATGAAAAAATATATGCTTACTGGAAGAAAAATTTAAAATTAGAGATTCTATTCATTTCTCATGTGTGGATCTCATTTGCACCTGTTTTAAAATGCTTATATTGCTTTTACTGAATTATATTTATTAATGTGATAACCTTGGGAATGATTAGTTTTATCTCAAGTAGTCACATGAATATCTGGATGTAATAAGAATAAAAAGAACATCAACAGAAAAATAATGAGTAAGTGTTTTGGGGAAATGAGAAAAAATGTATATATTGATGGTTAACTGTGAAGAAAAAAGTTTGTTAAAGTGAGGAAATGGAAAGTCTCTGAAAGACATTTTATGTATTTTATATTTCCTTGCTGGACACAGACAAAGAAGCAGGAAGAAGCTGGAAATGGAGTGGTAAAAATACTCGTTGTAAACACTATAAAGCAGCTTGTTCACAATGAAGTAAAATTATTATAGATAATTTAAGGTCAATTTTTTCTTATATTGCTGTGAAATTTTAATATTTCATTCATAATAGATGCAAATTATATTCCAGGAATGAAAAAGGTAATGTATGAAAGTGTACAAGTATGTGTGTGTGTTATGAAGCAAATTGCTTCCCTATCAAAATAGGCACCTTTACTTACTGCATAAAGTATAAATTAAGAAACTGGAATATGAACACATACTATCTAGATATGGTAGGAGTCACTAGGCAAAACTGTTCAATTAATTATTTGTGGGGAATAAAGCTGCAGAATGGAAAGAGCCAGGTGATATATTATTATTTCACGTGAAACTGGATGACATTATATTGACTAATACCTTTAAAATCAAAAACACACTAAAATATGGATCACATATTTGTTATTCATAGAACCATCTTCAATGACTTAATTAGAATACTGAGGTGTTTATTTAAAAATGAAATCATCAAAAAATCAAAAATGAAAACTAATTTCATATTTAGTCAAAGGTATATAATCATTAGGTTACTATGATTGACAGGACACCAGTAGAGGCTCCTATGTTAGTACTTCCTCTTCAAAATATGTGGGAGTAAAATATAATCTTTATTATTTAATTGATAGGTTTTTCCTCTCTGATAAAGAATTGAAATGTAACGTTGTATAGATAGGGTTTTACATCTAGCTGTCAGCCAGCACACAGTTAACTATGGTGTGGCAGAAATAATTTAGTTTTCCTTTTCAAAGTTTCATCTTTTTGAAAAAAAAATCCATTCCTGTTTTATTAGCTTCATTATTTATGACTTTTATTTTATCCTGCTTCAAAACCTTTTAGCAGAGAAGTGGCACATGAATAAATAAACTAATAAGGTGTGTTTCAAATATGAATGTGACAAGAAAATGTTCACAGATTCTAAAATAATCTTATAGTTTAGAATGTGAGAAGCAGCAGAAACCCAAATATTGCAATGAGAAAAATCTGTTACCATGGACAGGGCAAATCACCGTGGCTGCAGAAAAGCTGGAGACAGCTTAGAGTTGAGCAGATTGAGTGCAGCTACATCAGAGCATTGTTTATTTAGTTGGAATAGAATGGTTTTAACTAAAGAAACAATAAAATAACATTTCAAAAACAAAGCGTCATTAGCAGAGTGGGTTGGCAATTCTCAGGTAGATGATTAGCAGACATGGTGGGGGAATTTGGTAAATTCTGGTAAAGGAAATAGCAAGTAGGGAAAGGTGGAGCATGAGGAAATGCCAAAGAAGAAAATGAAGAGAACGAAAAGTAGAAGAAAGGGAAAGGACAGGGAAAGAATAAAGCTAGGAAAGGGGTAGAGGAAGAAGAGGGAGAAGACAAGCAAGATGAGGAGAAAGAGGCTTGGAAATGGATGTTCTCATGCTCTAGATGTATCGTTTTCATAATAAAATAAGAGAGAGCCAGCAGAGAAATGTGTGATGCATGCTAACCCGAGCCATTTCAACCTGCAGATCAAAAGGTGAGACCTAGAGCTGAGAAATGAACTGTGTCACTTATAAAATTTCTCTGGCCCTCTTGTTAATCAGCTTCACCTCTTAATCCTCATTTTGACTCCCTCCTTGCTTTCAAACAGAGGATTATTTGACAAGAGGACTTTAATTCGTATAGATGTGACTTTTCATGATACAGTCATCTCAGAATTTTATTAAACCCCTGTACTATGTTACCAGAATTACTGTGCATCTCAAATCATTCAAACTGAAAGATTTTAAAATGAACAAAATAAACTAAGAAATTAGAAAACAAATTCAACAACATACTGAGAATTTTTACCCCATTTAGAGTAACAGAGAGCAAGTTGTGATGCCCCTGTTTTGTATCAAGGCATATCATTTCTCCTTAATTGTATGAACAATCATCACAATTCATCACTATGAGAAAGGGATTGGCATGGACTCACAACTTGTACTCAATCAGCTAATGTTCCAATGTTCTTGATCTCTTCCTTGTTCTACAATGCTGAACTCTGTCTTCATTTTTGAGATGAGAAGATTTAATGATCACTAGGGAAAGCAGTGCAATATAGATGTTAACTGATCTGATTTGATAGTTACACAATATGTACTTCCAGAGAAAATGCCAGAATGCATTGCAGGCACAAGTACAATCGCTGTGTGCCAATTAAAATATATAATAAAACTTTAAAAAGAAGGGAGAAAAACATCAATTCATGTTTATTTTATTTTATTTTATTTTTTATTTTTTATTTTTTTTTTGGTTTTTCTCCGGTACCGGGAACTGAACTCACGACCTTGCACTTGCCAGGCAGGCGCTTTGCCGGTGAGCTAAACCCCCAGCCCCTCGATTCATGTTTATGTCTTTCCAGGGAAAAAGAAATTCCTTTTCTGCCATAAATGCTGACTGCAGCACCAATAAAAGTGCATTAGTAATATAAACTTTGATTTATCAACACCTACTTCTGATGGCAAGTATGAAAATTGGATCAAACTTCTTATACTTGTTTTTGCAGAATCATTTTTTAATCTAACTACCTTGGGTTGGTAAATCCTCTATAATTTAGACATTATGAGCTATATGGTGGGGCTAATATTGCTACAAGAACTTTAGTTTTTCTGACATTTTATTTTAAACTTGTCAATTTTATTGTGCCATTAGCACTAGTGTTTTTTAAACATTTACTTAAAAAATAACTCTTTGGTCTAAGGTGATCTGGAATAACATATCTATCAGGCAGCTAAGTGAAACATCAAGTGCTCCCCCAAACACATTTGTGTTCTTATAAGGACAGATTTCCCAATAAATCAGATAGACACTTTCTTTAGTAAAGAGAAATTATGGGCTAGAATTTGAATCTTTTCCTGTTCACTGTGTATTTGGAAGTATTTCTTTTAAAGGAATAAGATCACGCCAGCTGCTACGTTGACTCTTATCTGTGGCCAATCACATTGAAGAGGTCTTGGTATGGAACAAAGTCACCTGCAGGACTGTGTGAAGGTGAAGGGTCAGAGCATCAGGCAGGGTTCCATGTGTCTCAATTATGGGACTTCATGTGTACAGAAGTTTGAAACTAAGACCATAGAGATAAGCCCATTGCACCGTTTAAGAGATTTCAGCTGAAAATATAAGGTATAACACAAAAAGAATCTAGCTTATGTTCAAAATATGGATCTGCCAATTATAGGACATATATATATATTCCTTTTAAATGAAATTCTAGGCAATAATGTAAGCAAAAATATAATTGTTAGCTTTTATGCTTTTCCAGGCAGATTCACCATTTTATTGTTGTTATTATATTATGTATCACTTAATTTTATCCTCACAACCCAATTATACAGACTTTATCTGTTTTCAGATGAGGAAACAGAGAGATGTTCACTACAGATGTCACCCAAAATATCAATCTGAAGACTAGAGAAACCAGGACAAGGAGTCAAAACTTGTTCATATCTCATGATGTGACTGACATAATAAAGAAATATTTAACAATTTTTATTTGTTTCCACCTCCCTTGCCCTTTATCCATCCTCATATAAATTTATTTTGCTTCCAATCTATTTTTTCAACTAAATTTGGCCTATTGCCAAGGAGTTCATCCTTAAATACCTCTGTCTTGAAGATTATAGCATTTTTAGGTTCAGTATTTAGCTTCATAGTTTTCCACACACTAAAGAAGACATCATAAACAAGGCTATAATAACTGGATATCATTTTTACATAAAAATACAGCTACAGGCTGGTGATATTTTAACACTACAAGATGAAAGTCATGGCTTTCCAGGTCAGAGTTTCTACTTTTTGACAACTCAGGGAGAATGATGAGAAGGTCATTCACAGAAGCAACTCTACATATTTTTGACACAGTCTTGAGATATGCAATGATTGCATTCATTTTGCATGGCTGGTATAGGGACATAACACCGTTTAGTTTTTCTTATGTCCTTTTTCCTTTCCCACTTTCCCCTACTGTCCATCTCACGGTCCTCTTCCCATTTTCTAAAGATCTATCTCTTTGTTTCCCTTTATCTGTCTTTTTATTTGCTCTTTATTTTTACCTTGAGTTCTGTGTAAAAGAAACCACATTGCTGTGTATTTTTGCATATATATTTGATATATTTTATTATGATCTCAAGGTGCACCAATTTTTCTATAAAATGATTCAACTTTGTCCTCCTCAATAGCTGATTGGTATGTTATTGGTGCTGGGAGAAAAGTTCTCTCAATAAAATGACAAAGGCTGAAATGGATCTAATCTGAGAAAGTCAATTCCTTGTCTGAAACATGAGTCTTATCAAGGCAGAACCAATGGCCAAGAGGTCTGCTGATCTAGCAGCAGCAGTATCTTTTTTTTTCTCCCTAGCGACACCAACTGCTGCCCCATTTGGAATTCCCGTGTGGCACATGGGAAGAAAGCAGTGGATGCAGCTTCTCTTGTTTCTCTTATTTTTATCTAGGACAGCATCCTTCTTTCCTTTCTTTTCTATTATTCTTTCTTGTATGCATCATATGGGACAAAAAGAGATATAGTTGTGCTTAACGGTTTCATTCATGAAGCCCTGGAGCTGTGTTAGGAAAGTAATCCTCTGTATTCTCATCCACAAAAGCAGCTAATGTGTCATGACTGAGGAATACGGTAGTCATCAGAGACTGTGAGTGAATGAAAACCCAACCTGAAGTGCAGGCCCTCTGCGAGATTATCCCAACACTTCGTTTCGAAGTTTCCATGCACAGACTACAGAGAAACCTGCCTGTAGCCATGTGGTACCCTAATTGCAATTCAACATATTTCTGTTGCCGTTATGTATTTTTTCATCAAATTTATTCTTTTCTATACCACTTTATTCCTAAAATGACATATCAATTATGATGTATTCATATGTCTTTCTTTCCTGTTTTTGCTCTAACAAATTGCAGCAAGACTAAGCCAACATCATTTTATTGCAGTTCTGGAGATCATAAGTCTGCAGTCAGTTTCACTGGGCATAGACAAACATCAGAAGGGTCTTGCTCATTCCAGAATCTGTCTGTCTTTCCTCGTCATTTCCGGTTTCTAGAGCTGCATTTTTTGCCTTCCTTGGCCTATGACCTCTGTCCCTCTCTGAAGTGAGTACGATAGCACCTTCAAAGCTCTCTCTGCTTTAACCTCCACAGTATCTACATTTTGACCCTCCTCTCCCCTACTACAGAGACTTGTGATTTCATCTGTGAGACCACCAAATAATCTGTAATGTTCCCATCTGCAGAATCCTTTTCCTCACAGAAAACCACATATTCAAAGGTTCCTGGGATGAGGACACAAATGTCAGTGTGAATGTGAGTGAGGAAAGTATTGGTCAGAATAACACAGCATACAACATGATTAAAATGTGTGAGTCAACACAGAAGAGGTGCCTATGAGGAAGTCAGTAAAAACTCTATCCCAGTGTAAAGCTTTTTCTTTTATTTTTAAAATAATTTTTAAAATAAGCAAAAAGCATTAAAAGAGATACAGAATTTCAAAACAAGGTGATAGGAAATCAACAATGGTTGTTATATTGTGTATTGTTATCTGCAAAGTAGTTACTCAGATTACCAGATATAAGCATGTAAAATTAGTCAGAAATTGAGCATTAATTTTTCCTTTCAATAAACTAATAGAAATTAGTAGTACAATTATTTAAGCTATCGTGTGTGTGTGTAAATAGATAGAGAGATACATAGATATATAATTTCCTTTACTTCTTTCTTTTCTCCTTTCCCTAGCATTTTTTTTCTTTCTATTTTGTAATATCTATTGTACCTTTTGAATTTTTACTATTTTTCAAAATTTTGAGATCAGTTTAGAGTCACAGAAGATTTTTTTGTGCTTATATGGTCACTGTTCCACTTTATCTTAACATTTTATGCAATCATGGAATATTTCTCTAAACCAAGAAATTGACTGGTACAGTGTCATTGAATCAAGTACAGGATTTATTTGGATTTTGCCAGTTTTTATCTCACATTGTACTTACTTATGATCCTCCAACCTGTGACAGTGGAGTGGATTTTTCTTGTCATTCCTGAGTTTGACTCTTGAAGAGTCAGTTATTTCTATATCTTTATTTCCTTTTAGAAAGTTTATATATAGTAAAGAATAAATTTTGCATTGCATAGTTAGTTGGACTTGAGGCCAAAGAATGTGTTGGGTATTCACAAAGACCACTCCACACTAAACACTTCTGTCACTACAAACTTCCATCCAAAGTATCCATTTATGGATCATTTTCCCCACACCACTACCACCCTTCCAGAAAATGTTGAGTGGATATTTTTCTACACCGTTCTCCCTTGGTGAATGCAACATAAGTGTAATCATACAATCTGTATTCTTTTGGAACTGGCTTTTTTCACTTCACAAGAAGCATTTAAGAGCTATCCAAGTTGTTACATGAATCAACAGTTTGTCTCTTTTAATGGGAGTAGTATCTTAAATATGGATGTATCACAGATTGTTTATGCTTTCATGAGTTGAAAGACATCTGGGTTGTTTCCAGTTCAGGGCAATAGGAATAAATCTGCCAAAACATTCACATACATATTTCTATGTAAATACAATATTTCATTTCTGAGTAGATATTTATAAGTAGAATTTCTACACATTTAGCCTCATAAGGAATGGACAATTTTTATAGTTATGTCTGTAGTTTTTCCATTTTTTCTAGCAATGGATTACTACTTGTTAAGCAGAGTTTTAATCAAATGATAGTTTAATGTTTCATATTTTTCTTTTATGAATCATATTTTAACATTAAAATCAAATAACTTTGGTTAACCTCAGGTCATGACTTTTTGTCCTACATTTTTGTCTAGAAGATTTTTACTTGTACAAATTACTTTTGGGTCATGAACCACTTTGAATTAACTCAAATTAGATGTGAGAAAAAATTAAGCATCTGTATTATTGTTTAATGAACAATTTTATTGAGACTTAATTCATACACCTATAGTTCACCTATTTAAAGTATATAGTTAAATAGCATTAAATACATCTATGCACCTATTCCCCAACCAATTTTGGTGCAATTTTGGAATAATTTTTTGTTTTTTGGGTTTTTCTTTTGTTTTCTTGTTTTTTGGGGGTTTTTGTTTGTTTGTTTGTTTTTGTAGTAGGAATTGAACTCAGGATCTTGTGCTTGCCAGGCAGACTCTGTGTCACTGAGCTATATCCCCAACCCTTGGAACAATTTTTAATCCAAAAAGAAGCATTGTAATCTTTACTAACCACTCACAAGCCTTATCTCTAAAAAAATGAGTCTACTTTCTGTCCTTTTGATTTGCTTATTTGGACATCATAAAAATGGAAGTGCTAAATACATGGCCCATTATAATGGGTTTCTTTCCCTTGGCATAATATTTCTAAGGTTAGTCCATGTTACAGCACTCAGCACTTCTTTTTGAGTTTGTTGTTAAATATTTTATTATATAGATATGACATAGTTTATTCATTCTTTTATCAGTTGATAGACAATTGAGATGTGCCAACTTTTACATTATTATTAATAATGTTCCAAGTAGCATTTATGCCTATGTTTTTAGATGGACTAATCTTGTTATTTGTCTTAGGTATGCTGGGTCTTAGGGTAATTTTTATTTATAACCTGTTGAGAAATTGACAAGCAATTTTTCACGGTGATGGAACCCTATTACATCCACACCAGCATTTGATAAGGACATACTTCCTCTGTACCCTTATCAACAGTTATCATAATCGTTTTTTATTATAGATATACTGATGGGTAAAAGCTTGGGCACTCTTCTCTCTTTAGGCGCTTGCAGGAGTTTTATATCATGCAAGCCCTTGCTTCTATGTGGAAACACTCATCCAACTTCACACTCTAACTATCAGAAAAATTCCTTTTATTGTTTTCTAAAGTCATTTTTAGACCACCTTGAGAAAGCTGCCCTACTCTTCTAGATAGTTCTGTGATATCTGTATAGCACCATTGATCTTGACAGAGGAACTAAACCTTATGTGAGAACCCATCTGGTGACTCTGGGAGAGACATCAAATCCTTATATCTAGAGATGTTGAGAGTATTTCATGTGCTCATTCTCCATTAGTGATGTTCTTTGGAGAAAGGCCTATTCCAATATTTTATTCACTTTAAAATTGGGCTATCTGTCTTTTATACAGTTATAATAGTTGTATATATTCTAGGTACAAGTTCTTTATTAGACATATTGATTGTTAAGTATTTTCTAATGTGGTTTTCACTTTCCTACTCTGCTTGGTGTATTTGAAACACAATAGCATTCAATATAGATGATGTAGAATTTCTACATTTTTCTTTGGTTACTTCTACTTTCATATTCACATTTCATAAACCAACACCTAGATCAGAATTATGAAAATTATGCCTAATTTTTTCCTTTTAGCATTTTCATTTTA